TTGGTGTTTATAAAACAGCTGGTGGCCTGAAGAGATAGTGATAGATCCTGTTGATGAAATGCCAGGGATTCCTCCAAAGCCAAAGACATCTCCAAGTCAATTGTATCTTCCCCTCGTGTTATCTTTGGTTGACTTGTTTGATTCTCTGTCAGCTTTTCTCTACAGTCCCACACGGGCTGTCAGGAGAAGGTATGTGTGTGTGCCCCGATGCTTGTGAAGACAGAGGGACCCTGGGCTGATTTACAAAGATAAGAACCCTTTGAAGTGACAGCCTGCTCTGGATTGAGCCCTACCATCCCTCCCCGGGGCTTGTTCACCTAAGATGTTCATTCCTGACAAACAAAACACACAGCCACCTTCCTCTCCATCCCCACAGAGGAATGCCAAGCATCCTGCTTTCAGTAAATACCTCCACGGGGGAAACCTCGAACTGACCCCGTGACACCCAAATGCTGACAGCTACTATCCACCCTCACTAGCACATGGCGCCAAAAAAAGATAAATAGATCCCCTGCAAACAAAACGAGTACCTGTTTACCTCTCTCGATTGATGAGGGAGTTTTCCCCATTAAAGATTCAAGGCGAGTTCCTGACGATGAATGTATATATTCAAGGTCACAGAGCACATGATACATGGTCACACTTTCCGCAATGGCAAGAACAGGACAGGGGTTTAAATCATCGCCTGGGGAATGGCCTGGAAGGGCTGATTCCGGGGCGCCTCGAGGTATTGGTTTCTGAAATTGCCTGTGTAAATCACAGCCATGTGTAACGGCGTCATTGGTCCGCAGGAGCAGCCCAGCTTCATGGAACCATTCTCTTCGATTTCGGTGAAATCATTGGTGATGATTAGAAGTGTAGAATGTGATTCTTAGAAGAAACATCATGAAAGAATTCACTGGCTACAGCAGGAAAAAAAAAAAAAAAAAAAAAAAAAAAAAGATCCATTTCCATCCATAATGCAATTGGCAAGCATTATGTGTATGTGTGTACTATTGACTAAAGGTCAATCTTTGTGTTAAAATAGACAAACAAAGCCTGTAATTCAGAGTTGGTGTTGACTCAGCACATGCCTTGGGAAGTGGCTGATAGGTTAAATATAATATCCTTTCAATCACTAATTTGTCAAGGTCCTTTTCAAGAGGTCTCTCACCTTGACATCTACAGGCACATAGATTTTTTTAAAAAGGGTTACCAACGTGGAGCATGCCAGAAGTGTCCACCCCAAAGCCCTCTCAGAGAATTGTTCTACAAAGCAAAACGATACAAGTCTTAAGATTGGGAAAGTAAACATAAGTGCAGTTTTTCACTCAACAAATATCTGATTAATATGTTAACTACACTGAGGAGACATTAAGGCCATAAATAAGTGATGGATTATTTAAAAACACACATCTTCATGCAAGTGTGCATAGCTAATTTGATTGTAAAAAAAAATACATATATCTTAATGGTAATAGTTAGAGAGATATAATAGCCATTTGAAAAGAAGGGACGGAAGGGACCATCTAGAAGTAATAGGATTTTTTTTCACTGCTTCCCAATACTCACATTCTCTGCCATCCGGTCAATTTCCTCATTTATTCGTTGATTCTAGGCATGTTTATTGAGAAGCCCCAGTCAGTAGGGCATATGGGGGCACTGAGGATAAGAATACCAACTTCATCTCCAAAGATTGCAGAATTCAAAGACAATTGAAAATCATCATGAAACATAGTGTGAGAAATATATTTAAACTAGAGGCCTGGTACACGAAATTCATGCACTCGAGGTAGGGGGAGAAGGGGTAGGGGCAGGAGGTCCCTCAGCCTGGTCTGCACCCTCTCTCAGTCCCGGACCCCTTGGGGGATGTCCAACTGCCATGGAGGCAAGAGAGGCTCCTGCCACTGCTACTGTGCTCACCAGCCATGAGCCTTGTTTCTGGCTGAGCGGTGCTCCCCATGTGAGAGCGCACTGACCACCAGGGGGCAGCTCCTGCATTGAGCATCTGCCCCCTGGTAGTGAGTGCATGTCCTAGTGACTAGTCATTCCACTGTTTGGTCAATTTGCATATTACGCTTTTATTATATGGGATCATTCAGTCAACTGTTCATTCAGCAAATTTTTCGGCAGCATCTACTATGTGCCAGGCCCTGGAGGTATGATATTAAATGAAACAAGGCCAGATTCCTACAGTCTAATGGATCAGATTCTCATTGAATCCCGACTGATCATTTAGCTGGAGGATAAAGATAGGATAAGTTATGGATTTCCACAGGGACATGGGCCGCTGCCAAATGTCACTGAGGGTTGCACAGTCCTTTTCCCATTGGGAAGAAGGAACAGTCAGGCAGATGGGAGCATCCCCTAGGGAGCAGTCTTCTCCTTGAAAACCCACGTCCCTTAGGACCTGGGTCTCCTGAGACTCTTCCACACCCAGAGGACAGGAACCATGCTGCTGGCATCAAAGACCTAATTAGCAACGGGAAGAAGAGGTGACTCAGTTCCATCACGGGGGAAGGAGGAAAAATTCAGGCATGCAGTGATAACACCAACAAATTGTGGAAGGAAAGGAGCCAACTCCTTTCTAAGTGGGGATGAAAGAAGGAACGGCGGATTGGATTTCTCCCATCCCACTAACTGGGGCCACAGGAAACATTTCAAACAAGATGCTCGAATACCTGCCAGGAGAAACATTCTCCCAGAGACCGAGGCTAGGGACAAGGGTCCCCTTTCCCAGGTCACTCCAGTTTCCAGGGGTGAGTGACCTTGTAGTGGAAGGTTCTTGACACAGCCCTCCACTGCTCCACCGCTAAGAGAGGTGGCCACCCATGCTGCTTGTCCAGCTCTGTGTGGTCACATGACTGTCGGAGTTGATTTGTATCAGAAAGGGTCACTCCTTTAGGCCCCACGATGATAAACCATCTTTGGGGGGAGTACGTAAGGTCTCTATTTTTAAAAACTGACTTCGAAATCTTTTCCTTTTTGTGGTTCAGTAATTGTCAAAGGGATGGGTTTGGGGGTTTGGTTTGCCCAGTGCCCCTCTTCCAGCCCGCTCAGCTTTCCTTCTGTTTTGTTTAAAGCTTATCCAGTGGTGGCTTGCAGGGACAGAGCCCTGACAGCCAAGATTAGGAGGTTTGGACTCCTGGTTTCCAAGTGCCTTCTCAGTTTACACCTACTTTATAATTATATGCAAACACACTGACCCCTCAGAATCTTCGTCACAGGCTCAATTTTTCTTTTCCTCCTCTTCAAAGATACATCTCCTTGAGAAAATGGTCTTTGTTTAGCCTATGATTTTTTGATACATTCATCTGAAGGGGATAGGAGTGGCTTGTTTGATTTTTATTTGTTTTCTAGGATCTTTGCTTTGCATTTTCGTCCCGTGTTCTGACTTTCTTCTTACCCTGGAATTGCATTCCACTTACATACTTCCTTCCGTTTGGGGCTTGCTAGCTTGTGGGTGTTTAGGTTTCTGTTTTGAGACACCCTTATGGCTTTGAGAAAAGTTTGGAAAAGCAGGAAAAGACAAACTATAAATGTGTTAATATTGTGGATAACATGGTACCTGGTAAAACTTACCACGGGCTTGTGGGAAGGCACGCACAAAAGGTAAAGGAGCAACACATTTCTTTCCCCTTCTGTTTCCCAGCCCGGATCCTGTGCTCCATTTAACCCAGCAGCCTCTTTCCTCCCCAGCTGCCGGCCTGTCCCACGCTCCCCATGGATACACTCCCCTCACCTCCTTCTTCTGCCCTGGTCTCATCCCTTACATGAGGGGCATTTCACCCCTCCCGGCTCTCACTGTCTTTCTCTTCTCTGAATCCTCCTCTGCATGTATGTGAGTCCTTCCTCATTCCCTGGTTGAAAAATCCATTTCATTCCTAGAAGTATAGTTTGCCACGTTTCTGGAAAATCTCTAGAGTTTTGGTTTTGTTCTCTAAAGAGAATTACACCCTTCATTTCCCCAGTAACTCTACCAATTTCTTGGGTCTGAGCAGGGCCTAGTAAGAAAATGGTCTTTAAAAAATCCCCTGGGCAACACTGCTCAAGGGTCTCGCCTTGGGTGAGTGCAGGTCCAGCATAGCTGGCCTAACCTCTGCTCCCTTTCTCAGCCTCTCCGAAGGCCTGGGCAGCATGGTGAGGACCTCGCTTAGATTTCACCTGTCTCGTGGATTCTGTTTTAGGCCCCGAATACTGTGAATGATTACAGTTCACAGGCGAGTGTTAGACCAGACATAATTCTGTCCGGCCCTTTCATGGACGGGTCTTCTGGAAGGATGCAATGCCTTGGGACTTAGATTTCTGGACACAGAGTTTTGGGAAATGACATCTGTCTTCTTCCTTCCTTAGCAGTGCCTGTGCTTTGGATGGAGATGAATGTTCTCGCTAGCCCAGGCAAATACTCCATCTGATAGGCATTGTGTGATAAGCAAAGCCCAGCCCTTACCAACTCGGCGCTCACCCTGCAGTAGTAGCCTGTAGTACTACTCCTGGGACAAGCACCTACAGTGGCTACAGGGACGCAATCAAGTGGAAATTCACTGAGAGCAAAGGGGCTACTTCCAGGGCTGTTAGAATATGCTCTTCACTTATATAAGGTCGAATGTGCCACTTATTTGTGTGCTTTGGAAAGATACCTCTCTCTTAGTTCTAAAGGAAAATTATCTAACCTTTTAAGCTTGTTTTTATGTGGAAATAGGGGGATGTTTATACCTTCCGGCACCTGGTGCACCACTTGACACATAGTAGGTGTGCAGAGTGTGTTCCATGAGTCAAGGAGAACCCGTAATGATTCCCACATGCGTGGTCTCCTGTGTGCAGAAAGATGAATGAGTGTTTTTGCACCAAGTAATAGGCAGGAGTTAACGGTCCCGTCCCTGTGGCTTATTATACTAAAGAGGAAATACCAAGCCAGGAATAAAAGAAGATTGTCTAACAAGTCAGACTGCATGCTGACCTCTCCCCCAGCTGTTTGTAAACGCAAGCCCCCTGTATCTGTTTGTGTCCCTTCTGCTCAGACGCCCAGCCCACGGAAGGCGAGCGGGAGATATGGAACCAGATCAGCGCAGTCCTCCAGGATTCCGAGAGCATCCTCGCAGACCTGCAGGCGTACAAGGGCGCGGGCCCAGAGATCCGAGACGTATGCCAATGACAATACCCAGCTGCCAACACCCTTACGGGAGAAGGGAAGCCCACACACACACGCACACACAGCAGGATTAAGTAATAGGCCAAGTAGTTCCTAGTGTAGTGGGAAGAACAAGGACGGTAATGTGTCCTGTCAAAAAAAAAAGCGTATGAATAACCCCTTGTATTGGAGGACATTAATCTGAGCACACACTGCTGTAGGCCCTGTCAAAAGTTAGCCATTCTCTTCCCAGACACACATGTAAGATTGCAAGACTCACATGCACACAATGACCTGCCAGCCTGTTACTTCATTTGAGGGAAATGTGCATAGAAAGTCTGTGAACAGCAGTTGAAATATGAGTCATGAGACCTGGGTTTCTATGAACTTCCCAACATTTTATAATAATTTGGGCGGGTTCCACCGGCACCAGGAACAACAGTCATGAACTGTCTCACTTTAAGTAGCCTGCAGGTCTGTTGTTTTGAACTAACTTGGAAGATTTAAAAATAAATAAATATGTGAAAAACAAGACAGCCACCAAAACGAAAAAAGGAAATTGTCATTGTGGCTTTTGAGACTTCCAAATGCCTAAAAGGCAAGAAATTTCTCACCCTTCTTATTTGAAAGAATTAGTTTTGTGGCAGTACCCACACATACACACATTCCTGTGCACACACATATGTACATACAGACATACACACCCCTACTGCTGCTGCCAAAATCGTTCTGGAAAATAAACACCGCTAACGTCACAATCCTCCGGCTGCTGAAGCCCAGACAAAACAGCATTTCTAAGAAAGTAACAGCCTGTTAAAAAGTTGTTTTTCTACTTAGGAGGTCACCATGAATGTAGGTAATTTAGGTAACATCACAGACTGGCAGGAATGCATTACCGAGAAAGGGAAAGATCTACAGAATTTTCATTTCACAATGAGCACCAGCTCTGCTTAGAAGAATAAATGGTGATGGACGAGGGTAGCATTGCTTCCTGTTAGATGTGCATTTTTTACATTTAAGATGAGAGAAACTAGTCAGTTGACCCAGGATCTAAATTGCAGAGTTATTTGCACTCTGTCCAAGTGCTAACACCTCCATTCTAACTGAGCATCCTGAAGGACAGTCTGATGAACTGATGTCCACTTAAGAAGTGCACATTAGTGAAGTCCAGTGACCATTGTGTTTTTGAAAATGTAAATCCTCTCTGAATGTTAAGTCATTTTGATGTGGAGCTGATTTTCTTTCTAAACAATTCTGTGATTTTTTTTTTTATAGGCCATTCAAAATCCCAATGACATCCAGCTTCAAGAAAGAGCATGGAATGCAGTGTGTCCTCTGGTGGTGAGGCTAAAGAGATTTTATGAGTTTTCCATAAGGCTAGGTGAGTTCGTGTTTCTAATTTCACATCCCACGTGTGAAGTTGTATTATGGTGTTGGTGAAAGTCACTGGAAGAGCTCAGTGTCTGTGTGTGTGTGTGTGTGTGTGTGTGTGTGTGTATTAGAGGCCGGGTGCATGAATTGGTACATGGGTGGGTTCTGGCCAGCCTGGCCAGAGGGAGGGGACATGGGCGGTTGACTGGCCTGCCTGCTGGTTAAACTTCTGGTTGAGGGGACAATTTATATATTAGCCTTTTATTATATAGAATATACACTGAGTGGCCAGATTATCATGTTTTCAGAAATCATGATAATCTGGCCACTCAGTGTGCCTGTTTTTAAATAAAACTTTATTTATATTTTTATAAGATTTTTAAATAAAAGGGCCTGGGGACCATAGTTTCCCAACCCCTAATGTAAAAGGTTGATTAAATGACTCAGTGCTATTAAAAATACATTGACGTGAAAACTGGAGGGAACATTGAAAAACAGACAAGTGGGAGTAATGTGATGGTTTCAAGGGCAATAATGGAAGTAGATATGGCAATGGACTAGTAGAAGAAATATTGCTGTGAATAGATGAGACTGTAGATGCAGAGAAGAGCGGGAATGGAACCCAAGATCTCTCTCTGCAAAGCAGGTAATCTGACCCAGGTGTTCTGGGCTATGGTGTCTCACCCTGGATCTTGAATGGCTGTCTCATGCACATGATCCAAAAACATATATTTATGGTTTCCCAACACTGTTGGCAGTGGGCACTACTGAAGAAGGGAAGGTGCAGCTGAGCTTGGAGAGACATTTACATAACCGTGCGGCTGTGGTGTGGGGTTGGGAGAGGATTTCTGCAGTGGGGGTAGCCTGCTCAGCATGAAGGCTCCTTCTTTTCCTGGTCCACAACATCATATTACCCACAGTGACATGGAAGCACAGGGAGCAGAAAGACCTACCCCGGCAGGTTATCTCTGAGAATGTCAACGGGGCTGCAGATGGTGCTTTTGAAGGATCTCTACAGGCCGACTCAAATATGTATTTATCCCTTTGACTTTCAGAAAAAGCTCTTCAAAGTTTATTAGAATCTCTGACCTGTCCACCCTACACGCCAACCCAGCACCTGGAGCGAGAGCAGGCACTGGCCAAGGAATTTGCGGAAATCCTGCATTTTACCCTTCGATTTGATGAGCTGAAGGTTAGGCCACATATGTTTGATGACTTACTAAGCTTGTACTGACTTCCTCCTGTACACAGACCCTCTGCAGTGCTGTGAGGTGGGGAAGAGAGAGACGTGAGTGAGATACTGTAGCTCCTTCTTTAGGGAGACGTAGAATGTGGCGAGAATTTGCACTCATTGTGGTAAAGTGACTTAAGATGGTGGTTTTTGTGTGAAAATTCAAATTCTGTTAATGCAATAAGAGACATTTTCGAGTGTCTGCTCCTCATTGAGAGCAAATACACTTCCCTGTGAAAACGGGGCATATTTTTAAATCATGAAGCTTGGAGTGCTTATTTTTAACCAGAAGTTGCATGGACTCGTGTAGCAAAGAGAAGTCTTGGTGTGTTTGCAGATCTAGTGCGGGGCTCCCCATGTGAATTCCCCACCTGATGCTGAGAGATCCCTTCTCCTCTCTTCTGACTTTCAGATGAGGAACCCGGCTATTCAGAATGACTTCAGCTACTACAGGAGGACAATAAGCCGCAACCGCATCAACAACATGCACGTGAGTACCTGGTCCCGTGAGCCTAGACACCCACACTCCAGGTCTCTTTTGGTGTCTGAATCGGGCAGGTCTCAGGGAGAAGATAGTCTTATCTATAATCCAATTTCCAGGGGACATTGTTTGGGGATTTTGACCATCTCTTTATCAGTTGCATCTTCTTTTCTTGTTTTTATCAGCTAGACATTGAGAATGAAGTCAATAACGAGATGGCCAATCGAATGTCCCTCTTCTACGCGGAAGCCACGCCCATGCTGAAAACCCTTAGCAATGCCACAATGCACTTTGTCTCCGAAGTAAGTGGACTTGAGCAACAAGGTGCTTTTTCCTTAATTGCTGGCAAAGGCTGCTGGCAGGGCTAACATCCATTTGTGTCTCCCATGTAGAACAAAACCCTGCCAATAGAGAACACCACAGACTGCCTCAGCACTATGACGAGTGTCTGTAAAGTCATGCTGGAAACACCGTAAGTGACATCGGAGCTGTACTGGTAGTCAAGAGCTCACCAGGCAGAGCCTGTTGGTATAATGATGCCAATGACTCCTAACCATTGGGTCAGCACGTTAACAGTCACACATTCATTACCTGAATTAATCTTATAAAGAACCCTTGGTGATAGGTATCGTTACCCCATGTCAGAGGTGGAGAAGCTGAGGCTGACTCTCCAAGGATTGCAAAACTTGTTAGATGGCAGAGCCAAAACTCAAGTCAAAGATGGTATAGAGCCCTAGCCGGTTTGGCTCAGTGGATAGATAGAGCATTGGCCTGTAGACCAAAGGGTCCTGGATTCTATTCCTGTCAAGGGCACATACCTTGGTTGCAGGCTCCTCCCCAGCCCAGGCCCTGATCAAGGCACATACAGGAGGCAACCAATAGATGTGTGTCTCTCACATCGATGTTTCTCTCTATCTTTCCCTCTCTCTTCCACTCTCTCTAAAAGGTCGATGGAAAAATATCCTCAGGTGAGGATTAACAAAAAAACAAAGGAAGATGATATAGAAATTGTGTAAGTATCAAATGGAGGATTGAGTGAAGTAACTGGATAGTATTAGTAATATGTTGGAGAAAAGATTTGAGAGAAGATCTAGAACCAGGAGAAGTGGTAAGACTGTTAGATCTAGAACCAGGAGAAGTGGTAAGACTGTTACGGGAGTGATAATGAAGATCTCTCTCCCTCTCTCTCTCTCTCTCTCTTTCTCTCCCAGCATCTCTTTGTATTTAAGCTGGTTGCTAGATTTTTTTTTAAATGGTTGAGTTTGTTGAGGATGAGGCAGGAATGGAATGAGGAAATCCACACTCAAAAGTCAGGTTTCCACTTATATCTGTAGCCCCCTCTGGGCCCAGAGACAAGTGGTCTGAACTGCTGGGGCCCTGGTCTCCTCATATGATACCATTCTCAGAACCCCATCTAAGTTGCTTAGTATTTTGGATGCCCAGAGGGATAAAAAAAAAAAAAAAAAAAAAAAAGCCTTAAAATTTTTGATGTTCTGTTCACGTGGAAGATGATATTATTTCAAATATTTTGCTTATACCAAAGTTAATAGTTATTCCAAGACAAAAACAGTAATCATCTTCATTGAAGGGCCAATTCATAAGGAAATAGATATTAAGAAAGCCTCTGGTATTGGCTAGAATTATCTGAATCATCAGAGACCCTGTCAGGGTAAGTGAACAAAATTCAGACTTCAGGAATACTCTCAGTCCCAGTGACTGGCACATCATTTCTTTAAGGTATCCTCCACAATTTAATTCATTGTGCAGCCTGTATCTTAACAAAGGAAGTTACCCTGACTGGAGACACGATAGCCACTCTCTGGAAATGAGCTTGATTCTTTTTTTCTATAATGAAGCCATTATTCTCTATAATCTTGGACAGCCAGAGGGAACTGCTATAAAATATTCAGGATTGATGGGTGTGGCGTGATGTATGCGGTGAGCTGGCTCACTGAAGGGCAGAAGAGAAGAGAATTGACTGCCCTCTAATTTACCTTATTTTTGCACTGAATTGCTGGTGGGATAGATTCGAGGAGAATTATCATCATGGGTTTCTAGAAGAGCATATTAACCTGGTTGGTGCATGTCTGGGATTGTTCTCAGGAGAGGATCGGAGGAGTCTAAGGCAGCCAGTGTGGAGCCAGACATGAGCATGCTCGGGCCAGGAAGTAACCCCACTGCCATTTCTCCTCTCTCCCAGGGAGTACAGGAGCAGGTTTACGAGCGAAGAAACGCTGATGTTCTGCATGAGGGTCATGGTGGGGGTCATCATCCTCTACGACCACGTCCACCCCGTGGGAGCTTTCTGCAAGACATCCAAGATTGATGTAAGAACGTTACACAATGTGCTTTCCAATAAGAGTGCATAAATGCTGCCAAGGAGACCTTGCTTCTCTCTCCTCTGTCTCCCACTAAAACGACCTCTCCAAGACGCAAGCCCCATCCTGGTACCTCTCCTCACAGGAAGAAGTCCAATCTTTTTTATGTGCTTCCAGCAGAGCATCCAACCTCAAAAGCATAGCAGGAATGTGGAGGAGCTGATCCGCTCAGCCAGTAGAGGAGCTGGGCAGAGAACAGTCACTTAGCTGCAAGTGCCCCTCCAGTTTATCACAGTGTTATATAAGTATATTTTATTTTATTTTTTCTAAAAATATATTTTTATTGATTTCAGAGAATGAAGAGGGAGAGAAAGAGAGAAACAGCAATGATGAGAGTAAACAAATCTCTACATGACGCTGTACCCATGATTGGCATCTTTGATTGACCATGACATTCTTTCTCAGTAAGCCTATACATGACCCCCACATATTCTGAACCCTGTGCTTTGGCTTCCTCCATCCAACTATCAGGGTTTATCAGGTTTTTAAGAAGAACTTCCACACTGGCTGGGTAGCTCAGTCAGTTAGAGCATTGTCTCAATACAACAGGGTTGCAGGTTCAATCCCCAGAGGGGCACATTAAAAAAATCAACCAATGAATGCATAAATAAATGGGACAACAAATTGATGTTTCTCTTTCTTCCTTCCTCTCTCTGTCTCTCAAATCAATCCAATTTTTTTTAAAAAAAGAAAAATTTCCAGCATTCCAGAGGTATACCCGCAGAAAGTGACCGTTATAAAAGATGTCTCGAGTGTACCCAAATCTGATATGGTACATGAACATTTGAATTTAAAATGAGTGACTGTATTCTTTGCAGCAATATTCTTCCTTTGTAAAAAAAAAAAAAAAAAAAAGAAAGAAAGAAAGAAAGAAAGAAAGAAAGAAAGAAAGAAAGAAAATTACAGGGTGTGCATAATATTATTGTGATCTATATAAACTTGCTTTTCATGAGCTTCCCAAATTTCGAATAAATTATATTCCAAAGGCACAAAAAGCTAAGAAACTTATCTCGGTTCATGAAGATATTAAACAAGTAAGCACGGATGAAACCCAGTCATTCTCCCTCCATGTGGTTCACATTCCCAACCACTGGCCTTTTCCAATCCTCTCCTGTCTGGTGAGGGAGACAGTCAATGTGGGCACTGATATCCCCAAGGTTCTCTAACTGCCAGTGCACTATGGGAATGCAGGAAGGTGGCGGTGACTTCTGCCTGGTGAAGGTAATGCAGTCAGAAGAGGCTTTCAGGTGTCAGTGATTTTTCGTTGAGTCTTAAAGAGCTGAAGGAGGAAAAACATTCAGGGCAGAGGGATGGGATAAAGTAGTCAGGTTTATAATCCATTCAGCCTCCACTGAGCACCTCCTGGAGGAAAAGCCCTGCCCTTAGCTCTGGAGCAAAAGACAAGATCAAAGGCTCAAGTCTGTGTCCCCACACGCCAGATATGTAAAATGTCCAACTGCAGGACAGTATAACAACTGATGTGGAACCTTCGGGAAGCCTAGAGGAGCAGCTCACTGGCCTGGGGATGGGGGAAGAAGGTCTATTGGTTATTTCTGTGAGCAAGAATAATGTGATATTATTATGAGCAAATACTATAATGGACAGAAGTTATTATGGACAAAATTATGAGGATATTAACAAATGCTGTGCTTTCTCCCCAGATGAAAGGCTGCATAAAGGTTTTGAAGGAGCAGGCCCCGGACAGTGTGGAGGGGCTGCTGAATGCGCTCAGGTGAGCCTCAGGCCTGGGGGAGCTTTGTCAGGGATGTCCAACCCTTCAGATCTTTTGCAAACGTAGATGCTGTTAGGGACTGAAGGCTAAGGCATCGGGCATGGTCCTTTGCATATTGTAATACATTTGCTCTTCCCAACAACCTGTTAAGATCAGTACCATTTTTATCATCTCCTTTTTACAGTTGGAAGAAACTGAGATATAGGGAAGTCAAATAACTTGTCAAAAGTTGCACAACAGATGGCCAACCTAGGACCTCAACTCAGGTCTGGATGACTCCACAGGTTGTAGCCCCCAACTCCAGGCCACACTGCTTAATGGTTGTGGTTAGTAGGGGCTTGACAGAAGAAGCAGCCTCCCTTCAGTAATATTCCCCCTGCGTACTACGCTTAATGTTTTGTACTCCGCTCCCAGTCACGTCGTCTCATTTCATCATCACAAAGCAGAGAAGTCAGGCCAATCAATTATCTTCATTCAGTCAGTGAAGGAATGAGATGCCTGTGAAATGAATAAACTAGACACTGAGATTGATCCTGTTTTGTAGAGCTCCTCCATCATTGTTCATTGTCCAAAACAAACGGTTTTAGAATTACTGTAAGAGCCTTCCGGATTCTGAGGGTCAACCAAGGTTTTCTCCAATAGTGCCCATTTCACAGAAGGCTGACTTTTCATCTTAGTAAAGAGACTTCAGTTACTGAAGTGTTTGAATCAAGCAAGACTTCCAGAGTAGGGCACTGTGGTAGGCTGTGGGTCTCCTGTGTGTGCTGGCATGTGTGTGCCCCCTAGACACTGGTAAAGTGAGACAGCACAGACTTCTGAGGCAGCTAGATCTGTATCCAAATTGTTCACACATCCTTTCTGGTCATCTTTGTGATCTGGAATAGGTCATATAACCTCTCCACACCTCAGTTTTGACATCTGTAAAATGGAGGTAAATAACCTCTCTTACACAGAGTTAGTGTCGGTGAGATGAGACCTTACATGGAGAGCCTAGGGCACGGCCAAGGTTTTATTACGTCTTACTTCTCCTTCCTTTCCTTTTCATAAACTATTTCTGCACCAGGTTAATGTGAGGATGCAGATTGCATTTTTTTTTTTTTCCTTGTTGTTCACTTCCACTTGTGCCCCCTGGTGGTGTCAGTGAGGGTAAGTGTTGCCTGGAAAGTAGAAAACTAGAAACGTTTTAGAGCTGCTATGTCGCTATGCAAATCCCTATTTTCAAATTGGTGACTTAGCAGGGGTGGCCTAGGTGGCCAAGATCCTGCACTCAGTCATGTGAAGTCTACTTCCCTGTAAATGAGACTGCTTAACAGCCCCTCCGTAATTGTTAGAGTATTTGATCTATTAGTTTAATAACCGTAATAACACAATTCCTCTGGAAGGAAGAATCAAATATTCAATCCATATGAGAATACTCTGGGCATTGGAATGTGGCTCTCTGTCTAAAGAACCAAGCCTCAGCTTGATTTATAAATAGCATTTGTGTCTCCCAAGGCAAAGATGGGCCGGTGAGTCATTACTGAAGCTTTCACAGAGCGCTATTTGCGCAGTGAACGCCATCCTTCTCTCTCCGTCCAGGTTCACTACAAAGCACTTGAACGATGAGTCGACTTCCAAACAGATTCGGGCGATGCTTCAGTAAAGCTCTGCTCCAAGAAGAGGATCTATGTACTGACCTCAGAAGATGTATATGTTTACATAATTTAATACAGATTGATGTTAATACTTGTGTATTTACATAACCGTTTCCTTCTTGTCACTGCAATATATGGACCTTAATTTGTATCCTGACTGACTCAACCCAGCAGAGCATAAGGTGACTCGAGAGCCTTACCTTTGATGTCTAAAACAAGACCCCCTCCTTCTAAGGCAAAGGTTGGAGATGCTGAACTTTGCCACTGGAGTCCTTTAATACACCTGTAACAATCAGAAATTGCCGATAGCTTGTGGTAGTGTTTAAATTGTAGATGTGTGATCTCTCCGGGGAGTGTAGTGATAGAAACACAAGGTATTTGACTTCTTATATCGGCTCAGCTACAAGAAACACGACTGGTATCCTGGCAGAGGGAGAGAGAAATCCAGAAAAAAGAAAAAATGCACGTGGCGGTTCCAGCCCAGGTGTTTGGAATTCAGCACACTCACTCTGTTTCCCCGAGACTGCAGGCCACACGTGCAGCCTTTCTGTTTGCACGTGCTTCATTCATCAGCATTTTCCCTTTCTGTTGGCTGTATGCCCCTTTGCAATTCCCTTTCCGTTTGCAAGAGGAAAATCACCTGTGTTTGGGTCAGTCCGCGGGAGAGAAGCCAGGATAGGTAGAGGTGCTGCTGGCTGCTGGCTGCTGGCGCAGGTGGGCTGTTGAAAGTGGTTGTCTTGGAAGTCCGGGACACGTTGGGAGGAAGGACACCCAGACAACAGGACAAATCTTCAACCCTCTGTCACAGGCACAAGGACGTGGGGCTCTGGCTTTGAAACTGTGGGTAAGTTTGCAGACGTTGCGGTTATTTGCATAGTGCTGGGCACTCAGCCCATCCACAGAGGAGCCTTGTTCTCTGTGGACCATTCATGTGACAATAGAGTTCTGGGCACTTCATTAATTGTCAGAAAGCTGGGGGAATTTGGAGGGGGGAATATCTACGTTTTCTGGTTACCTTGTCTTTAAAATGCAGCTTCTCCCTGGCCCATTGCTAGCTTGTTGCCTTGAGGAAAGCCTAGTCAGAGTTCCCGGAGTTAATTCTAGCCCTGTTCATTCACAGTGTGATCTTGGGAAAGTCACTTCAGCTGTGTCTCACCTTTCTCATCTCTAAAATGGACATTGAAAACCGACAATCTCCAGGAGCCCTCTATGCCTAAGGCTACCTTAGAGTCTAAGGCTACCCGGCACTAAAATGACTGAATTCTTTCTTAGTTAGTGGAGCCCAATAAGCACCATCCCACCTTATCTGATGACTGATGGTATGACAAGGTTTAGAGCAGTGGTTCCCAACCTTTTTTTAGCCAAGCCCCACCTAAGCATCTCTCAAATCTTGATGTCCCTCTGTGACATATAATTCTTATTATTCAAAAAGTGTACGCCTATTCACATGGAGGAAGCCTAAAAGGCCATTAACTTGGCCTAAACAAGCTTCCAGAGAACATGGCACCCATGAAAGAGAAAAATAAAAAAACAAAAGGAAAGTTGAAGTACTGACGAAGAAATCGCTATGAATTGTTTTTTTTAAAAAAAAAAAATGAAGTGATATGGAAAAGAGCAAATAAAGTTTCAAAATATATAATAGAGAACTGAAATGCATAAATATGTCATGATATATATTTATATACTGTATATGAGGTCCCTAGAACAATAAGAAATGCAAAAAAAATCACTGTTAATAACTCATTCTCAAATTCCCCCCCTTAAAAATCAAATTGCCCCCATTTGGGGCATTGTGCCCCTTGTTGGGAACCACTAGCCTAGAGTTATTTTCTCTGAAGATCAGAGCTTGGAATGAAATCCAGGAAATCTAATCTAGAATGGAAAAAAAGACAGAAGGTGAAGTCAGTCAGGACCCCACTGCCCCACTGTAGTTCTAGAACCCAGATGCCTGACTCCATGCTCTTTCTTTTCACCATGTGGCCTATCTATACCTACTATGGGATGAGACTGGATACTTTAAAATAAATCCTCAGTCTGGCCTACATAATTACTTACCTACTTCTGATAGACAGCAGGTTACCAAGTGGATGATCATTCCAGAAGCTGGGTCTGGGTACCTTAGAGCTTGGCACCATTCACAATGTCCCAAAAAAATGAGCTGTCACACCATTGCTTCCCAGATTTTGGTGGCCAGCTGGCATTCCTTTGAGTCCTCCGAGCAAAGGGGAGACCTACATGTGTTTTGTTTTATTTTGATCAAAGAAATCCAGCTGTGGCAGAACAGGTTCCGTGATCTGTATCTAAATGTCAGTCAACAGAGAGGAAAGACCCTTTTCCTTAAAGCTTTTCAAGCTGAACCAGCCTTGCGTGGATGGCTCTTCTCCCACCAGAACAGAATCGCGCTAGTTGGCCTTGAGTAACTTTTCAAGCCTAGGGGTTCTAATGTCCCAGAGGAAGCCAGAAAATGGGGTAACGACGGGTGAACAACATATTCATTAAATATTCAGCTTAGGAAAAGTTCTTCTATTTGGCAGCCACATGGTATCCTTGGGCGACAACTGTCAAGATTGTACATATAGAGGCATTGACTGCTCGTCATCACTGGGTCCGTTTCCTCCTTGGCTAGGGAAAGGCGATTCAGTCTTAGAAAGAGGAGTGGACTTGCAGAGCAAATAGTTGAGCATGGGTGTCATTTTTTAATTAGACTTTCTATCAAAAGGGACCAAATATATGGGAGGGGCTGCTGGCCTGCCCCAGTTTAGCCAGGTTGTCTTGACTCAAAGCCAAAATTCATTCACCAGGATGGGGGTTCTCCAAAGCCCAGGGTCTGAAAGGTTGCCTCTGAGTGTCAGGAGGGCAGGTTAACTGAATGTCTATGATCACGGGCAGGTGGTGGACCTCGGGCCCACTCCAGAGCTATTGTGGGAGACAAATTCTTTTAAAAGTCTGTCCTCCGGGCATCAGGAGTCCTTGACCAATCATGGTTTCTATGCTGCATGCACATGCGTCCAAGACCTATGGGTGGTTTAGGGAAAGTGCTAGCAACAGTCTCCATGTCAATGTTAACTATATTTCATATCTGTTATCTCATAGTTTTCAAATAAACAGTGTTTTCTGTTACTCCCATATTTATTTGGGGGGCAAGCAACAAAATGAAAATTGCATTTCTCAGAACCATTGCTATTTTAGCATCATAATTTTGTTCTCAGAAACCTTTCATGTACCACAAGGAATTAGTAGTTAAAAAAAAAAGCGCAAAACAAGTGGCAATAAATGTTTGAATTGTGGTGACCCATTCAGACTGGCATATTAATTAACAACCAGAAAGAAAGTCTTGGATACTATCTTTTAACTACCAATTAATATCATGGTTCATCAAAGTTCACTCCTAGTTATTATCATTATACCAACATATTACTGGTAAATTGAAGTTTTTGATACATCATCACATTGAAGTAAAAATAATTTCATGCTTCCTCAAAAGGAAAATAAAACTACTCAATTTGGGAATACAAGTGTCCAGTAGAATTCAGAGACTTCTTATTCAATTGTGTATCCCAGATGGCTGTGCGTTCTCTAGATATTCATAATAAATGTTGAAATTTTATCATAAAGAAACCCTCCAAAGCTCAATTTTCCCACTACATCCATGAAAGCTGGTGCATACACAACGCTGCTTTAAAGTTTTCATATCTTGTTTGCTATCATTGTGATTTTTTTTTGCCTGCTTTGCCTCTTTTTGTACAGAAGTTTTGGGTATGAAATGAAAATTAAAATTTGGTACATATATTTAAAAGAACACCTCTATTTTATATGATGTCAAGGCGGAGTGGGTGATAAGCACACGATCATAGATATGTGACATGCATAGATATTTGCCAAAGATCTGTCCTGAGCACCAGAAAGTCACATCATCTGCCTTTGACTTCTCTATGCCTCAGTTTCTTCAAGTACAACATGAAATGCCCCACATATACTGCTCTTGGTATCAGCTGTGTCTTATTCATTTCAGCAAAGACTCTCCATTAGGGGGGAAAAGCATAAAATAAGTACAGAATTGCATGAGATATACTTGTCCATGCAGGCTAAGAAGCCTTAATAAATGCTCTTTCAATCATTCTTATAAGTACAATAGCACTTCGTGAATTTGGCAAAGTCAGCAAATTTTCTATTCCTTACAAGTACAGTTTTTTCAGGCAACTTAAGCACCAAGGCAATTCTCTTCACCGCTGAATATTGAAACTCTTCTAGAGCATTACTTTCAATGCCTGCAAGCGAATCACCTGAGACCTAATTATGTGTGTTCTCAATGGATCAGAATCCCCCAGAGAACCCTTCTATGGTGTCTTATACAAAAGACAAAAAAAAAAAATTATAGAAATGGGAAATTTTCTATAAATTTCATATTGGACAAATTATAAGTGGACAGAAGCTGGGAGAGGGGAGGGAGAGAGGGAGAAATCCTAATTAAGTGAGGGTTGAGAGTTCAGTGACAGGAAAAATTGAGTAGAACATATGCGTGATTGTCGAGAGGAATACAGCTAATGAGGAATTGAACACCCTTCATACCAACCAGGAAGTTTATTATTAATCAGGGTTCTCTTGGAAGAATAGGATGAGGGGTTCAGCTGGCTGAATTCATGAAACCTGGTGAATATTTGCAATTTGTGTTCACATCTGATTTTATGCTTGAAGTTGTCAATGAGTAGATAGAATTCCTAAGTGTTGGCTGTTTGAAAATTATGCACTCTTGTCCTGCCAGCATGGTTCAGTGGTTGAGCATTGACCTATGAACCAGGAGGTCATGATTCAATTCCCAGTCAGGGTACATATCCAGTTTGCAGAATGTGGCCTCCATCCCCAGTGTGGGTTTTGCAAAAGGTAGCCAATCAACAATTCTCTCTCAACAATGTTTCTATTTCTCCCTCTCCTGTCCTCTCTGAAATAAATAAAAATATATCTAAATTTTTTTAAAAGAGAAAAAAATTATGCACTCTATTTATTCATCACAAACTAAGTGACAGATTAAATAATACTAATAACAGTACTAATTAATTTATGTAAACTGTATTCATTAAGTGCATTAATCTATCCAATGTGAAAAATCCTTATCTCTATTAGTAGAAAATGCTCCTGATCACACCTACATGGTATCTAAATAATGAGAGATTTTGGTCATTCTATCTGCTCCAGCTCAAAATTCAAACGTCAAAGAAGGGAGCTCTACATCAAGACCCAGGTCATACTCACCTTCTCCATGAAGCTTTCCCCATCTACCCCAGTACATACTGATACTCTCTTCTTAGTTCCTCATGCATTTAATTTATTTGATACTAAATATAGATCACCATACAGTACTTTAAATTATATGTTTGCTTTTCAACTAGATTTTAAGTTCCTGAGAGCAGGACAATGTCCCTTAGAGGACCAAGCTCAACATATGCTAGTGACCAGTAGAAGCTTCCTGCAAACTGGAGACTTCAAGGATCTGAAACCTGAGTTTGCTGACATGAATCCCTGAGAATTAATTTTGACAGCTCATAACCATCCACAATAACAAATTTTCTACTCTTCCGGTTGGTCAGTTTTATCCCTAGAGGAAATATTTACCTATGTGTGAGGGTATTTTTAACTTCCATGAACACAGAGAGCTTGCAGCTTGCTGCTGGGCTGCTAGGAGTCCAGCTGAGAAGTCGGGTTGATGTCTTGTTCAAGAGTTGGAGTCAGCTAGTCCTAGCAAGGGCAGGTGTGATATTCAGGTGGGGTCTTGTTCAGTCTGGGACTAGGCAGCTACTCCATCAAAGGGAAGGGAAGAAGGGCAACAGAAGGCATTTCCAAAAACTAGGCAAATCTATTTCAGCACCTTGGATAGCAATCTAGGAGTGTTGTTCTACCAGTCCACAGTCATTTATCCTGGCATCTATTATAAGCACTATTGGTTCAACTTTGGCTCTGGAATTCTGGTTAGCAAAGACAATATGTTCATTCTAAAAATAACATTGCTACGTATTGTGAACGTATTTTTCTTTGTCCTGGGGCTTCTGAATATCACAGAAGATGAGCAGAAAGTAGTTTGAAATGCCCAGGTATCGTCTTGAGTTTCCATTTTCACAGTGTTTTTAGATTTAAGCCCAACTCATAGGCATGACTCTTTCTTCTTCTTACAGCTGATTATTGATACCTAACAAATATGATTTCTAAAGAGCTCTCAAAAACTAGCAAATTCTCCCTGGCTCATTTGCTTTATTTACTCCAAGCTTTATTATCTGTCCCTTAGATTACTCAAACTTTACTTTCTTCCTCTTCTCATCCATTCTCTACACAATCAACACCCATATGTCCATAATATATATCTGGCAATGTCTGCGCCATATTATTTGTCTTAGCCAGTTTCCTGAAATATGTTCTCAAATATGTTAATTGCTGTTCCATTAAAAAAATTAATTTTGTACTTTTCAAATAAGTTTTGCTATTCTAGTCCTTTCATTTCCATTGGAATATGAAAGGAAAGCAGATTGTGGATTTCTACACTCCCCCTCCAAAAAAAAAAGTCTTGATGGAATTTAATTGGAATTTCTTTGAATCTACACATTAACTTTGGGAGAATAAGCATATTAACAATTGAATGTTACCATCCATTACTGCAAATACTCTAATTTAGTTAAGTCTTCCTAAATTTCATTAAATGTTTGACACAGACTATCAATAAGGACCCAAAGTTTGACTTTATCAACCCTAATCCTTTTTATTTCTTGCCCTCTAACATAACTAAAACCTCTAGTACAGTGGTTGGCAAACTCATTAGTCAACAGAGCCAAATATCAACAGTACAATGATTGAAATTTCTTTTGAGAGCCACATTTTTTGAACTTAAACTTCTTCTAGTGCCACTTCTTTAAAATGAACTCTCTCAGGCCATGGTATTTTGTGGAAGAGCCACACTCAAGTGGCCAAAGAGCCACATGAGACTCGCCAGCCACAGTTTGCCAACCATGACTATAGTAAAATGGTAAGTAGAAGTAGTGAGAGTGGATTTAAATTTTTAAAAAACTAAACAATTATATGTTGTTTGAAGATCTAAAACAATTGTTTAAGAAACCATTTCAATCCACATTTTTAGGAAGATATTCTCAGTACACTTTATTTCTTCCATATTTATGAGCCTTATTCCTGCATTCCAAACATTTGAATTTTAGTAGTTGTTTGCATTTTCATAGAAAGTAACATATTTTATTCACATTTAGAAATAATCAGCAAAAACTTTACAGATTATTATCTTTAAATTCTCAATATAGTCTTTTTATCTGTGGATATCAATTTTCTTGGCTCCATTTTCTCTCTGTGGATAAATCAATTTCCTTGGCTTCATTTCCTTGGCAGGAATTCTTCTTTGAATATATTCTTTTTGTACCTCAGTTAG